AAAGGGCCCCAAGTGTTCTTTTAGGAGCCAAGGCAGCCAAGGGATCGGGCTTTATAACTGAAGGGAGGTTTGTAATTGAGTTCTCGGGATCAGATTTTATAATTGAGGAGGGGTTTATAGAAATGAGGTGAACATTAAGCATGTCACAGAAGCAATTTGCACCACTTGCATCCCCGTATAAGCAATAGTATAATAGCTGAACCTCGAAACCCTGTTCAATTTGTTCGAGGGCCCCCCAAATTACCACTAGCTCCACTCCTGATGCTTGGTTTGAAGTGCTCCAGCGCAAGGCGTTCTCAGACAAAGTCCGATCTGGAAGCTTCGTCGGCCACACCGGCAAGAAGCTGACGGACGTGCTCTGTATTGGTGACCTTGAGACGAACCAAAGGGGATTAGGGCTTCGGGCCTGGCGGATTGGTTAGGGTTTCGGCATGTGGGTAGTTGTCTAAAGTAGGGCCCCTTTTAGGGACATTTCTAAACGGGTGCCGTACTATATTGGGGATTCAAGCAGGGACCCTAATTTAGAAAACTACCCATGTGCAGCGTGCTTAGGTGTCCCGGTATCTCGCTTTGAGTCAGCCTCGGATGCATGAGTAGTCCCTGCAGTGCTTTTGGATTTGATGCAGAAGGCGTATCTACAAGGATAGGGCTGCTGGGGGAAGGTGTCGTCCACGATTCCACACCACAGCTTCAGCTCACCTTGAAACCGCCAAAGCCCCCGGCAATCGCCCGCGCTGGGCTCAGGCATTGGTGGGTCCTACCTGGGCGTCGAGTTCGTCTACGAAGCGCTGAGCATCCTGTCCCAGTAGCCGTGAGTCGCCTCCGACATGACATAGAACCCCTCGAATTACATGATATAATTTAGTTTAATATCATATGATATGATATTATATTATTAATGTTATACATTATATGAGAAGTCATGTGCCAGTGGCAAAAGCCGGAAGTAACCCACGCAGCATCACGAGGGGAACCTTCGCGCTGGATGTCGGGGACTGCCCTTTCGCTGATCACTGAGCCCATCAACCTAGCTGTGTTCTTACCTGGACCCTAAAAGTATGCAAAATAATGGCCCTTTATAGGTTTTGGGCCTTCGCATGGGTACTGATCCTAAACCCTAAACCCCTAAACTTTTGAAACTCGTGGGCCGAGTTTCAAATCTAAGCGTCGGAAGCCGCAAGCGCCTGGCCATGAATCCCAAGCCCTAAGAAACAAGCCCGAAAAGAGACTCAACACATCTTGAAAGCAGTAAAACGTTATCAACAGCCGGGAGTCAGCTCCCAAAAAGCCGTCCCCTCCAAAACGCCGGAAGCTTCGAAGCCTAGCAAAGGAGCCAGAAAGCACAAAGCCCGAACCCTCGAGGCCAAGCCAAACTCTCTCGAGCTGTTACTGTTGGAGGTACCACTTACTACGATCTTGGACCATAGGCCCAAGGACCTAATGCAGCGCAGGTACCAACATCTTGGGCATCACTCGCTTCCGAAGCTGTAGGGTTCTCGAGACATTGCACCTCAAAGCCTTCGAGACCCCCAAACCCTAGTAGGCCCATACATAGGCCCTAGTACTTGGTCCCCATACATGCTGTTGATGATCGAAATCCTGCATAACCTTAAGGACCCTAAACTATGGGAATTATGGTATAATCCTTGTTATGGATACTGCAGGATTCCTATCATCAACCGTAGGACCCATATAACATGCAACCTCTAAGCCCGGAGCCCTAAACCCTATAAGGGTTTTTGGTCAGTACCTATGGTCTCCATTGTAGTTTCTTTTTGGGGTTACCTTTTAGGANNCCCCCCCCCCCCCCCCCAAACTCAGGGACCGACTCAGTTGCCGCGGCAGCAGCGAAGGGCCGATCCTTACGGTGTCCTGGGTTGCAAAGGAGGAATAGGATGGTTCCTTTAGAGTCTATGTAAGGGTTTTGTACTATGGATTCTTTAGGGGGTAAATGAGCCTCTAGGGGGTTTTTATCGGGTAGTAAAAGGGGTTAAAAGGGTGTACGGGTGTAAATACATGGAGTAGGACTTGGGGTTCCAATCACTCCACGATTATGAGGACTCTATGTATCATGCTGTGGCGTCTAGACCCTACAATGGGTTTGGATCTCACGGCCTACGGGACTACACTGAGATGGCTTTGGGCTTGGGCTGTGTGGCATGGTCTAGGCCTTATAGGGCTTTTTGGCTTCTAGGGGCTTGTAGGCTCTTGGGCTTCGGGCTTTGGGTTCGGGAGTCTGTAATCTATCCTTTCGGGCATCTTACCGGGGTTATAAGCTTGTGGTTTTGGTGTTCATGATTTTGGGTGACGTAGGGGTGTTGGCTTTGCGGGATTCTGGCGGCTTAGGCGTTAGGTTTAAATGCTCGGCTGCGGATTGAAAGTCTGGCGTCTCTGGGTCCAGTAGATCCCAAGCTTCCTCACCCCTAGACGCGATCAAGCCCACTAACTCCAACACATAAATCTCGCATGGAATGACGCCCACTTTATCCTGCGGGCAAATGTTCCGTTTCTGAGTTTCTGACAACCTTGACCGCGAAATTCCCGAAGGTTTCTGGCAAACGTCGATCCCATCGACGTGAAACGGGCTTTGTGCCTCGAACCAACAAGGTTGATGTTACTTCGGGTTGATACGGTTTAGGGTTTAGGGTCTGGGGTACTTATGCAGGGCTTGTAGGGCGCATGTTTGTAACCTAATTCCAGCCACCATAGCAGAATCTTCTAGATAACACAAAGCCCATGAAGGGGGGTAGAAGAGCCCAGCCACTGCTTCTGACTGCTACTGTGCTTGGGCCCTCAGAAGTGGGGATTGTGGTTCTGGGAGGCCCGAAGCTCTTAACCCCAAACCCTCAGCCTTAAACCCCCTAGTTCAAGGGTTTAGGCCTGAGGGTTTGGGGGTTGAGAGTTTGGGGCCAGATTGCAGTACTTTTCTTTTCTGTGGTTTGGGTTTTGGGGTTAGTGCCGCAGTCCAAGGTTTGGCATACAGACGGTTTTGGTTGTAAACAGAGCTTCGAGCTGAGATACAAGGTTTGGATTTGCAGGTCATAGGATTGATGATCAAAATCCTGCATTACCCATAATAAGGAATATACCATAATTCCCATAGCTTAGGGTCCTTAAGGTAATGCGGGATTTGCATCATCAACAGTAGGATTCAGCCTTTTCCTTGGTGATTTAGAGCCTATGGTGTCTGAGCTTCTCAACGGCTGTTTCCCGCACCCTGAGAATAAGATTCTATATCTTCAGCCGTAGACAATCTCGACGGTCGTGGCAGCCGCTGCTGTCCAGGGCTGACAGGGTGATATCGAATGACAGCCAATACCAGAGCAAGAGAGCAACCATCGCATTAATCATTGTATATGCGCAAAGTATCATGGCTATACCCGTCCTATCATTCGGATCAACAACAACAGCTCTCTGTCGCCATCACCATCACCATAATCACCACCATGATCACAGCAAAGACCCGCGCCGTCACTACCATCATCTGCTGCATGTTCATCATCAGCATCACCATCACTGTAAGGACTTGAGTTCCTGGTTCAAACCGCGACAGCTCTGCTTCGAAGTTTCTAACGAGATGGCATCTTGAACCCGGTAGGGAAGACACACGAGTCATGAAGATGTGGACCATAGCCGCAGTCGTTTAGGGTATTTCTCGCATTGCCGATCTTTGTCCGCACTGATTCCCGCGAGGACTGGTCTCAATGCCGAAACCACACTTGTCGTTGTCATCTCCAAGACTTTCACCACGGTGCTCGGATGGAAGATTGGAGATACATGCTTGTGAACTCGTGTTACGTGTGTTGTCAGCACATTCCGGCTGTTGGTCAAGTGATTTTCTTGAAACGTGGGCGGATGTTCGGTGCGTATTTCATGACTTTTCGTGTTGTTCAGGTACGGTAGTACGTAGCAGATGAACATCAGGCCCTGGGTTGCACATGTCCTCATCTTCCGCATCGACCACACTTGGTTGTGGCTCTTAACAACAAAAAATAGCCATCATCAGGCTCAGTATCAGAAGGGTCTGCATTGTCATCATCGGCATCACAATTGACCGCAGCAGCGGCATTAGCATCACGGCCATCATCAGATTCTTTGCCTCTTTGCCAGCATCATCATCATCATCATCATCACCATCATCACCATCATCATCACTACCACCATCATCATCATCATCGTCATCATAATCTGTTGGCGTTCGGATTTGTACAGGAGTTTGTCTCGGACTCAGACACTCGCAGGGTTTGGTGCGTCGGGTGCCCTGAAGGCAGAAACGATGCTGAACGCCCGGACAGTGAAAGACTGGCTGGTGAAGGACCAATGCAGGGGCGGGAAGGGTCCCCGGAGAGCCCAATACCCCTTAAATAAGGAATGCATGCCTTAAATTATAGGAGCCCTAAT